CTTCTACACCTACAGCATGGAGGAGGTCGAGCGCCAGCTGAAGGAGATGGGGTTCACTGGCGAGCTTGACCAGGACAAAACATGGGAAGCAATTCCCTCTGCTCCTTCTAGGTTCACCGGTGATCCCAATCTGCCCGCCGATCATTCTTGGTGGGCCGCTTCTTTGGAGAGGACCTTAGCGGGGGATCCTTCTTTGAAGAGCTCGTTTGACCTGCCTAGGCCAGGCGAGGCACCCCTGGTCCGTCTTTCGGTTGCCGTCCTTCCTCCACAGCCTTTGACCACCAATGCTCCTTCGTCCATCTCCAATCCATCAGCCTCGGCTATCGCTCACTCTACTGTCGCCTCCCTTTCCTTGACTGCCGCCTCGCACTCGACCACCACTGTTTCTGCCTTCTCTGCGGCCATCTAGTGGTCCACGGCGGCTCAGTTTGGGTTTGCCGCTTTTGCCTCGTCAGTTGCAAACACTCCCTCGACTGTTGCTGCCATGTCGTCGGCGACAACTGCCCAGTCGACTTCCGCAGCGCAGGCTTCTGCTACGGCGTCATCAACTGTGTCCTCTACCACCGCTGCGCAGTCGACTGGCGTTGCTCCATCCACCGCTGCTCCTCCAAAATAGTTTTAGGTTCTTGACGATGTATTTTCATATTCTATTTCAATGCGATTTGTAATCTTGTACTCGTCATGGAATGAAAACTTTAATTTTATTTTCTTCGTGCTGCGGGATGCTTTTACTTTCCCAGTCTTTGCGTTCCTTGTCATGTGTGTGATCTTCTCATATCCGCGACCACTTATTCATCTGTTTAGGTAGAATGATTGTCGTTGTGCTCGACGTCCTTCATGATATGTAATTAATCATAGTCCGACAATCGTAATAAACTATAGTAACCACTCGCTGCCTTTAAGTTAGTATAATCATTGTGGTCGTCCAGCCCAGAGGCATGGACGTTGTCGACCACATGCCCACCCCTTAGAGTGTACCGAAAACAAGCGACCTTCGCCCACCTCTTGATCGAGGTGTTCCATAAACGAAGGACTTTGGTCTTGTCACTTGCCCACCCTAAGGGATGTTCCGAAAACATTGTGGTCGTCCAGCCCGGAGGCGTGGACGTTGTCGACCACATGCCCACCCCTTAAAGTGTACCGAAAACAAGCGACCTTCGCCCACCTAGGTGTTCCATAAACGAAGGAATTTGGTCTTGTCACTTGCCCACCCTAAGGGATGTTCCGAAAACATTGTGGTCGTCCAGCCTGGAGGCGTGGACGTTGTCGACCACATGCCCACCCCTTAAAGTGTACTGAAAACAAGCGACCTTCGCCTACCTCTTGATCGAGGTGTTCCATAAACGAAGGACTTTGGTCTTCTTTAAGGGAATCGGAGGAACATCGCGTTGTGAGAATATAAAGTATGTAGTGTTGTTGAGTGCACCGAATGGAGCTCGTGTGAAATCGTATTCGCAACACGTTAATGACGCTGGCAGAGATATCTCCTTATAGAAATCGATCATTTTGATAACTTTCCGTAAGAGGATTACAATGATTCAACTGCTCGAATACAAAGAAGAGTTTACACATAGTATTTTTTAAGATTAGCTACATTCCACGACCTAGCCAGCGACCTGCCTTCAGCGTCCTTCAGGGAGTATGCTCCTCCTGCATGCACCTTTTTGACCAAGTACGGCCCTTCCCAATTGGGTTCTAACTTTTCCACATGCTTGAGCACATCTACTCTCTTCCACACCAGGTCTCCTACTTGGAATCGGCGGATCTTCACTTTTCGATCATGTGCTGCCCTCATCCGTTGCTTGTATGCCTCAACCCTGGTCGAGGCTTGCTCTCTGAGTTCTTCGATAGTGTCTAGGGCGGTCAACATGAGTTCCTCGTTCTGCTCTTGATTATAAGTGTTCGATCGTTGGGACTGCAGCTCTAACTCAACTGGTAGAAGTGCCTCCATCCCATATACCAGGCTAAAGGGCGTTTCGCCGGTGGTCGACCTTGGAGTGGTCCTATACGCCCAGAGCACAGATGTTAGCTCGTCAACCCATGCTCCTGAAGCTTTCTCCAGCCTTGTTTTTAGTCCGTTTAGGATGATTCTGTTGGTCACCTCTACCTGTCCGTTGGCCTGTGGGTGTGCGACGGAGGCGAAGTGCTGCTCGATACCCATTTCCTCGCACCACGCTCTTACCCGCTTACCGTTGAACTGAGTCCCATTGTCAGATATCAGGACTTTAGGGACCCCAAACCGACAGCAAATGTTGTTGTACAAGAACTGAATCACTTTTTCTTCTGTAATTTTGGCCAACGGCTCAGCTTCCACCCATTTAGTAAAGTAGTCGACCGCCACAATCAAGAATTTTTGCTGCCCTGTTGCCTGTGGCATTGGCCCTACTAGGTCGATGCCCCACTGCGCAAACGGGATGGGTGCGCTCATTGTAGTCATCGTCTCCGCTGGTTGGTGTATGAGCGGGCCGTGCTTCTGGCACTGCATACATCTCCTGGCCAATTCTTTAGCATCCGCTTTCATTGTCGGCCAGAAGTAGCCTGCTCTTAAGATTTTTGCGATCATGGCCCCAACTTTGCTATGATCACCACAGCATCCCTCGTGCACTTCTCGCAAAACGTACCGACCCTCCTCTTTGGATACACATCTTAAATATGGACCTACATATGATCTTTTATAGAGGACTCCACTTTGTTCGAAAAACCTCCTCACCACCTTTATGGTCCCTTCCCGCAACTCCTTCTGGATTGGGGCCCTCCAATCCTCGACCTCTTCTATCTCGGCCACTTCTTTCTCGACTGCACTTTTCTCCATGTGTAACAGGGTTACACTTCTGCTTTTGCAGTCGACCAGGCTCTGCGCGATTCTTGACAATAAGTCCGCTCGACCGTTTTCTCCTCGAGGTATCTGGATCAATTCAAGAGAATAAAATTCCTTCTGCAGCTTCTTTATCCCCTCTACATACTTCATCATCCTATCCTCCTTGACCACGAACCCTTCTTGAAACTGTGCCACCATCAATTGGGAGTCTGAATGTATCTGCACTTTTCGAGCTCCTCCGGCTAGGGCCAACTCAATCCCCTTAATGACTGCCTCATACTCTGCCTCATTATTCGACACTCCATATGCCACCTTTACCGCAAACTCAAGGTTGTCCCCTTTTGGTGATAT